GAGGAACAATGACCCCTGCTAGCACCCCTGTCTGGGAAAAAGCCACCCCTGATTCCTGCCTTGATGCCAGATAGTCCAGTTCCTCCCCATATGTCCCTGGATTCCCCCAAAGCTGCCGCTCCATGCTGGAGCTCAGAGTAAGCAGGACCTTGTAAGTTCGTGCACTGGCCCTTTAAGAGGAACACCTGGGACTCTAGCAGCCTCCATGTCACTCAGTCACAATCCCTGCTGGTTTTTACAGCCTGAAGTTATGAGGACTTCTCTTCCCAGCTCTTCTTTTCTGGGGGCTGGGGGGCTGGGGACCCCTGCTTCTCACAGAAGGCCTTGAAGATATCCCTTCCAATTAAAAAACTACTACACATGGGTGTCAGACCAGCCCGTCCACACTTCTGCCCCTACTACCAATCTCAATGTGCTTTCTTCTTTACTTCTCTAGTTGTAGGACTTCTATTCAGCCAGATTTCAGGCAGATCTGAATGATGGTAGTTCTATATTTAGTTGTAATTTTGATGTGGTTGTGGGAGGCTGCGAATATCACATTTACCTTCTCAGCCATCTTTACCAGAAGATTGATCTAATTTTCTCTATATGCCTTTGTCTGATTTTCTTACCAAAGTGATATTGGCCTCATAGAATACGTTGGGAAGTATTTCCTAGAGGTGGATAAATGTTTTAACTTGTGCACTCATGTTATCTAAATGCATTATTTGCAAATGAAGTATTCTTCCAATAAATATTTATTGAGGTATCAATTATGTACCAACCACTAGGGATACAAAGCTGGTGTTTCTTTTTAATGGACCTTTTTTTAAAAACAATTCACATCCCCTTTGGCAACCATAAGCTTATTGTCTATATATATATTATGATATCTATATTCTACGTCTTCTTTATCCATTCATTTATTGATGGATGTCTAGGTTGCTTCCATATCTTGGTTATTATTAGTAATGCTGTAAGGACATAGGGGTGCATACATATCTTCTTGAATGGGTATTTTTGTATTCTTTGGATAAATACCCAGAAGTGGAATTGCTGGACCATTATGGGGCTTCTATTTTTTATTTTTGAGAAATCTTTGTACTGTTTTCCATAGTGGCTGCAATAATTTACAATCCCACCAAGAACATATGAGGGTTCCCTTTTCTCCAAATCCTTACCAGCACTTATTTGTTAATTTAATGGTAACAGCCATTCTGACAGGTGTGAGATGATATCTCATTGTGGTTTTAATGTTCATTTCCCTGATTAGTGATACTGAGCATCTCTTCATATATCTGTTGGCCATCTACATGCCCTCTTTAGAGAAATGTCTATTCAGGTCCTCTGCCCATTTTTTAATTGTATTCTTTTTTTTTTCTTTTTTGGTGTTAAGTGTATGAGTTCCTTATATATTCTTGATATTACCCCCCTTATCAGATGTATAAGTTGCAAATATGTTCTCCCATTCAGTTGATTGACTTTTTGTTTTGTTGATGGTGCCCCTCACTGTGCAAAAACTTTTTGTTTGATGTAGTCCAGAAGTGGTTAAACTTTTAAATGTATTTCAGAATGGGTAAAGCCTCAGAGTGGAAGGATACCAGTAAGTAAGCCTAGGTGAATAAAAAATGAACACTAGGGAAGTTAAAAAAGAGTAAAGAAGAAAAATGGGTGATAAATTATATACTTTTTTTTTTCAAAGAATATGAGATATCACTGAAGTCACTGCACTTTTCATAGAAATGTGTCTAAAAGAGCAGTTATTTTTAAAGGCTGTGGTTTTATTAGTAACCTATATCTCCATTCTATAGGCATTATATCCCATAAGCATCTGCAATATTAACTATTGACAAACATCTGAAATCCACTATATTCAAAACTTATCATCTTTCCTACAAACCTACTTCGTGTCATACAGTCTCCACCTTGGTAATTATTCATATACTTACTTCATCCCACCCTGTAACACCTTTGGTACCTCTCTCCTTTAATCATTTGCACCTGCAGTTTTGGAACACATAGCCTCTATATCAGTGGTTCTCAACCTTGGCTGCACATTAGAGTCACCTGGGAATCTTTTTAAAATCCTGATTTCTGGGCCTCATCCTCCGGAAATTCTGTTTCTTTATGGGGTGGGGCCACAACATTAGTAACAAAGAAACAGAATTTCCAGAGGATGAGGCCCAGAAATCAGGATTTTAAAAAGATTCCCAGGTGATTCTAATGTGCAGCCAAGGTTGAGAACCACTGCTCTATATCATTCCTCCTGCTTTGGTCTACTCACTGCCATCAACACAACTGGCTACCTGACAATACCTAATCATCTTTCAAGACTCAGCTCAAGTGGCAACTATTCCACAAAGCCTTTTATGGTTACTCTCCTTTGCACCTCTATTATATACCTCTATCATATATTGTACCCATTACAATCAATTTCATCTTTTACATGGCTTTCTTATTCTACTGAACTGTACACTACTTACTTAGGACAGTATTTTGTACATATTGGTACTCACTAAAGGTTTGTTCAATGAAAGAGTACATAAATATTCAGTCTTTCAATTGCTCCTAGAACAAACCTGTGATATAGGAACTATATTATCCCTGATTTAAAGATGAAGGAATGGTTGGTTATGCTCCAAATATTTGTTGGTTTCCTATGGGAATCATGTTATGATTCACTCCAAACTAAGTCCACCAAAGTTTATACAACTTATGACATACAAGCACATACAGTGATTTCTGCTATAGTATGAATTTTTATAATACTAACGAAGTATAATTAATTTAATAAGGAACCTGAATTGCACTGTGCAAACTGCTAATGGTCCTAAAGAGATGGCATCACAGGAAGAAAAGTTGTTGCTAGCAACACAGCTGTTTTGAGTGCAGTTATATATTTATCAAAATAATGAGTAATAAATATAAGGATACAAAGTACTGTGCTAATAATACTGCTGATGATAGTAGAGAAAGATTATTGCTTTTAAATATAAGCCAAATAAATGGCCTTATTGCTCAGGTTTTATTTCTTATATCTTTAATACATTGAAATGCTTATAGAAAAAATTACTTTGTATGAAGCTAACCCCTGACCCTTCCTCCTCCTCACTGAAACTTCTTTTTTAATATTTTAGATAACATGTGGATTCTTAAGAGAATACTTATCATGATATATTAAATAAGAAATGTACTTTAGAACTAGCAGTATCTGTTCCCCCAAAGCCAATAGCATTCCTACATATATGGTAGCAGCTCTAGCAACAGAAGTCAGGGGTCAGGAATGCTGAAATGAATGTTACAGAAATAAAGGAATGGGTGACCAGTGCCTGACCAAGGAATTTAGAGGCAGAAGATGTAAGGTGCACACAATACTCTTCCATAGCAATACCCTGAATGTAATAATGGGACAAGCTGGAGATGGGAGGAAAGACAGATTTGGAAGCCCATCTACCAGGAGAATCAATAAAGTATGGGCTAAAAGAAAAAAAGCAACCTAGGACAGCATTAATTGTGCTGGAACACCCAACATAATTGTGGGCCCTAATCAATGGAGCAAAATCAATGTCCAAAAAGAAGCAAGGTTGGTAACCAAATCAAAAACTGAACTATATGCCTCAAGAAAATATATTTCTCCTCAGTAGTAGAAATCACTGTAACAGAGGACAATTTTAGGCCATTAAATCTTGTTAAACTGACTGGAGGACCACATGATGGTAGAGGGTCAAATAGAAGCTCAACAGGCCAAAGACCCAGCCAGTATTACAAGCAGGGTCCATGGCAGTTTCTGAAAGTGCTGTGTGGTCATGCCCAACTGAGCCTATTACAGAACCCTATGATGTTGGAAAGCAAAGGGCAGTGAAGACTTAAAGGATGGGAAAATGACGCAAGAACAAGAAGGTAAAAAATGGAAGAGGAAAGGAAGGCAGATAAAGAAAAAAGAGTTCTTCCAGAATTTTTACCAATAATTTAAAAAACAGACTTAGCTATTAAGAGTAATGGAATCAGCCGGCCTGCGTGGTTCAGTGGTTGAGCGTTGACCAATGAACCAGGAGCTCACCTTTCCGGGTCAGGGCACATGCCCGGGTTGTGGGCTCCATCCCCACTAGGGGGCGTGCAGGAAGCAGATCAATGATTCTCATCATTGATGTTTCTCTCTCCCTCTCTCTTCCTCTCTGAAATCAATAAAAAGGTAGAATATACATATATATTTAAAGAGTAATGGAATCGAAAAACATTTCTAAATCAATTCCCAAAACATTTCTCATTCCTTCTAAAAAAGATCTTTAAAAAAATGTTTTAAAGTTTTAGTTGATTTTAGAGAGAGAGGAAGAGAGGAGAACGATAGAAACATCTATGAGGGAAACATCCACCAGCTGCCTCCTGCACGCCTCTACTAGGAATCCAGGCATGTGCCCTGTGACCTCTTGGTGCATGGGTCATGCTCAACCACTGAGCCACACTGGCGGGGCTGAAAGAGTTCTTAAAAATACAACCAAAGAGCCCTAGCTGGTTTTGCTCAGTGGGCAGAGCATCGGCCCGTCCCGGGTTCCATTCGGGTCAGGGCACATGCCCGGGTTGCAGGCTCGACCCCCAGTAGGGGGCGTGCAGGAGGCAGCCGATCAATGATTCTCATCACTGATGTTTCTCTCTCCTTTCCTCTCTGAAATCAATAAAAATATATAACTTTTTAAAAATACAACCAAAGAGGTAAGGCAACAATAATAGTGCCAAATAAGCAATGTCAGTGACTCGGAATCCGCTTTATCCCGTCATAGAGAGTATTAGCCACATAAGAGCAGTTATCTTTTAAACTTTCCCTCCAACGTCAAGAGATCCGGATGATATGCGGTCATTAAAATGGTGACATTAATGAGCTGCTGTCACTAACCCCTGAGCTTCCGGCACAAGCTACAGAAATCATATGCCTACGCCTTGCCTCTGTGCCCTAGACTGCAGCCTGCAGCCATTTCCTAGAGGCGCCGGGGATCCTGCGCCGCGGGGACAGGCACCCGAGTCACCTGCGCAGCCCGGGCTCCTCCGGGAGCAGCTGGTTCCACAGACGCCGAGGGCGG